TAGTCATCCAATTGAGCATTTCTCTTCGAATAGCCAGCATCAAAGCCATGTCTGTGTAGTCAAGCAATCGTGCACAAAAGAGTGCCACCAAATCTTAGATGACACAATTACAGAGCCCAAATGTGCAATACTTCTTAGCTGGAGCTTGGTAAGGTTCATAAGTAATATTTCGTTTCCATAATGGATCAAGGATCAAGGGGAAAGGGGGGCGAATTTCAGAAATTAACATAGAAGGGAAACCACATGGGTTTTGCTCCATAGCAAAGCTTTTATTGTCCAACTTTCTTTTGTGGGACCACCAACCCCAAATAATGACACAGAGATGTATTATTAATTAAGAAAGCTTTGCCTTTAGATTAGGCTTGTTCTGAACTAGTGCTTATAACTTAAATTAACCTGCTTTTATTAATCTATGTTTTGTCACATGGGTGGCTTTTACCCCTCTCCTGTTCTGAATGTCTGATATCTCTTGCACACCTCTGATTCTAACCCTCCAAGTTCCTCTCTCTGCCTGGAAGTCCCACCTACCCTCTCCTGCCTAGCTATTGGCTGTTCAGCTTTTTATTAAACCAATCACAGAGATGCATCTTCACACAGTGTAAACAAATATCCCACAACACCCCATGATTTTGTCTTCTCTCCATCTTCCTCCCATCACATTTCTGCCTCTTTCTGTTGCTCCTTGACTCCTCTTTGTAGACTAGGGCACATAAAATCAGGATTTCAGCTGTGGGCTCACCACCAATGATTTTTTATTTTGAATTTCAAAAGAAACATTGAAAATATAATAGTGGGGAGTGGGGAGATACACTATCAGATATTAAGACAGACATTAGTCCCCCTTTCTGTTCTTAGGAGACACATTTCAAGATGCCTACCAGATGCTTGAAAGCTAAGTATCCAACTTTGTATATTCTGTCTTTCTTCCTATAACTATATACCCATGACAGTTTAATTTATAAATTAGACACCATAAGAGTCACAATAGGAACTAACAACAAAATGGAACCATATTAAGAAAAATAAATGTAAGCTAAACGCCAAGTACTATGACACTGTTAACAGCCTACCTGATAACCAAGATGGCTGCCCAGTGACTAATGGGTGAGTAGTGTATACCAGATGGATACTCTGAGCATGTGTGATTTATGTTCTGTCTCAGCTAAGATGGAACAGAATGAGACAATCTCTGCTCCAAGTGGAGCATGATTTAACGTTTTGAAATTGTTTATTGGTGTGTGTGTGTGTGTGTGTGTGTGTGTGTGTGTGTTCAAGACCACAGATGATGGGCAGTAAGTGAAGCCATAAAAAATGACATTGTAGCTGGGGACTACTGTGTAATTAAGGCACAGGAATACAATCACAAGCTGGGAAAGTAGCTAAGTGGGTTAAGTATTTGCTTATGCAAGAAGCCCTGGGTTAAATCCCCAGCACCACACCAGGAATGGCTGTATACATGTGTGATCTTAAAGTCTTGGTTATCAGTCACAGTACTACCTGGAGATGCCAGAAACTAGTTAGGCACTGAGGGCATGCCCTTAGGCCCTCCAGCATCTCACCCTTTCTGTGGTCATGAGGTTGATAAAAAGTGTTGTCACAGGTTTCTGCCATGATGTTCTGCCACAGCTGCAGGCTCACAGCAACTGGATCAAATGACTATGGACATAAATCTTAGGAATCATAAGACAAACAGGTATTTCTTCCATTACATTGATTCTGTCAAGTATTTTGGCACTGTGATGAGAAACTAATAGACCTCTGAGATGTTAAACTGAGGAAAAATTAAGCAACAGAATGAGTTCTTACCACAGACAAACCAAAAGGATTAATTTATTTTGTGATATGTACATATGCTGGGGCATATTTTAAACAGAAGAGAGGGTGTGTGTGTGTGTGTGTGTGTGTGTGTGTAATGGTGGTGGTATATGTTATACAGGCGTGTTCCTTGAGAAAGCTTTGCTGTTCCCCTTTGGGATAGGGTCTAACTGAAGCTGCAGGCAGACTGCAAGCTCCAGGGATCTTTTTGTCTCCATCCTGCACAGTGCTGGGGCTACAGGCTCATGCTTTCTTTCTTTCATTCATTCATTCTTTCTCTCTCTCTCTCTCTCTCTCTCTCTCTCTCTCTCTCCTTCTCCCTCTCCCTCTCCCTCTCTCTCTCTCTTTCTCTCTTATGTGGGTGCTGAGATCTGAATTCATTTCTTTAAGATTGCACAAGTATCTTATTCCTTGAGCCATCTCTTCAGCAGCAACTTAGTCTCAAAAAAGTGTGTGTGTGTGTGTGTGTGTGTGTGTGTGTGTGTGTGTGTGTGAATGTAAGATGAGTTGTGGAGGTCAATGATAACCTGTAGGACTCAGCTCTCTCCTTCCATCTAAGTATGTCCAACAGTTGAAACTCAGGTTGTCGGGTGCGGCAGCAAGCTCCTTTACCCACTGAGCCACCTTGATCCCACACTCCTTTCTTTAAAAAAAAAATGTATATGGTGTTTTGCCTACATGTATGGCTTTGCACCACATGAGCGCATTGTCCAGGAGGTCAGATGCCCTGGAATTGGAGTTTTCAGAAGGTTGTTAGCCGGAATGTGGGTGCTGTGAGCTGAACGAACCCCTGTCTTCTGGAAGTGTTCTTAGCAAATGAGCCATCTCTTCAGCTCCTCACCTGCCTTATTCTTGCTAGAACTAAATGTAAGCGAGTCAGTTTGCTCTAGAACAAGGCACTTTTCCACCAAGGTCTTAAGTATCTCTTTCCACGCACCGTGCCAACCACTAGCTCCCGGTACCCTAAGAAGAGCTGAACTCGTCACATCCTGAACGTGCCCAAGTTTCACCCTAAAGGGCTGGCTCTTCCTTTTCTTACTGATTTTTCAGGGTTCAGTTTAGGTTTCTCTTCCAGGCGTCCATTTGGGACATATCCCTTCCCCAACGTCAGAGCTGCCCCATTGTACTCTGGTCCCCTACCTTCAGGCACACACTGCGCACTAAATGTCCCATTCGGCCACTCAAGGGTTCCCTAGGCCCGGAGCTAAGCTAGCAGGAGCTCGTCTGCCTCAGCCGCGGATCGGCAGGGCAGGGCAGAGCTGCGACAAAACAGCCACAGGTTACTCTCGCAGGTGCGGGACAGCCCAGCCCACCGCCCTCTCCCCCGCTTCA